TACTATCACCAGTCAAAGTCTGTAGAACTTCTAATGCTGCATAAACGTTAGCTGCTCCTTCTACCATTATCTATCCTAGTCCCTCTAAACCGTATTTCCTCGACAAGAAGATGTATTTGAAGCCTCGCGTTGTGAATCGAAGCGTACGTACAGCTAAGTCGAGAACATGAATCGAAGTCCATTTAAGGAGACGACTGGCGATGGCATTGCAGGCTCCATCGCCGAGACACTTTTCAGCCAGGAGCAACTCCGAAAGGGGACCCTCGCCCACCCCGCGCAGCAGCTCATCCACCTCCAGCAGCAAAGATCCACTGCACGGGGAAACAGCAGGAACAGCAGCTGTCGCAGCAGCTCTGCTGACGAAGGCTTTGCTTTCGGTGCCACTGCCACCGCAGCCGCTGCTGTTGCCCAACTGCCGCTGCAGCACTGCTGAATTGCTAGAGAGATTGTTTTCCCCTGAAGCCTGTAGATCTGAGTCTTGACGGTTTGTAGGCTTTGAAAGGGTTCTCCCGAGCGGGTACCCGAAAGGGCGTCCTGGGGTGTTCAGCATTTCGTAACCAGACATCCCTTTTGAAATTGAATCGACGTGGCTTCGTACTCTCGTCTGCCCTATTTTAATAAAGCCGCTTGGCAAGGTCAATAACGGGACATCTACCAACACACCAAGAGTAACTCTATGCTTGCAAGCCTAGTTATTCACTTGGCCCCAATGTGGGTACCTCCCGAAAAAAGGAAAGAGGAACGAGCAAAACTATGCTTCTTCTGTCTTTTTTCTCTGGCCCGCATTTACAGGTCTTAAAAATATGTTTGCGCTATTAATTCACTAACTCACAGACACACGGCAAAGGGGTCTGCGAGCGATTTCTGGAGCTTTGGCCATCCAGATAAAACAGATTACAAGCCTTCGGCCCTAACTATTACCTTCAAGTCAAAAACCTTGAATCAAATTAATGTTTAATTACATGTGGCATGCTGCTGCGCTATGCGACCAGAAGGCACAAAGATATAGGCCACTTCCTGCTTGATGTGTCCAAAAATTAATTGGGGCTTTGCATGCAACGGCACGCAGGCTCTCTCGGCATCGGCAACATTAAATACTGATCATTCCTGAAGTCGAGATCAATCCTTTATCGTTGTAGTCCACTAAAAGGCCGCAATCTATATAAAGGGGAGAATTTTGTGGCGTAGAAAACCTATGCTGTTCCACCTCTGACCTGTCTGTCCCTATAACAGCACTTCCTTGAATTAAATTGCTGTTCCTACTGGGCAGCGAAGCACAAAAGAAACGCAGAGAGTGATGATGTGCAGGGAAACCATTGGACGCTGCTCGTCACATGCAGGCAAACTCCAAAAGCCAATACAGACAATGAAGGTTCCACATAAAAGGAAGGCAAATAATGCAACCACGCAGTTCTCAATGGCTGCCACTACAATAAAAGAGCCAGAGCTGCGGTGTGCACGACCTAGATCCGGTTTTTTTTGTGTGAGCAGCGCACAGCCCCATGTCCACAAGGAAACGAGCCTTGAAGCCAGTTAGAGGGGCTAAGCAAAGATTTCTGAACCGATTTTTAGTTTGCTATCATGTGCTGGCACTTCAAACAGCAGAACATTGACTCTTAACTCTCCTTCGCATGCATTTTAGTGTGGACTGTGCACCAACTGCAGACCAAACTAAGCGAAAGCGATGCATCACCGCTAAAATCAGGACAGCGCTACGTTAAATCTGCCGTTCTCATTCTTGTGAGCCTGTGGCCTGCAAGGGGAAAAGGCGTTCACTCCTAGAGGTTTTGGGGCGTCCATCGTCTGTCGCAAATATTAGTTGCAATTCCTTCATTACAGGCGGTTCTGTGAGTAACGAATCTCCGAGAAAAGCCACACGCTCATCGAATAGTCCAAAAAGTATTTTGGACTATTCGACATGCTGGTTTCATGCTCATAGTAAACGCTGTCCTACAAGCAAATAACACAGGAAGAGGTCATGCCAGCAACGACGAAACGTGGAGAAAGTGACCAGATGGCACACCAACCTTTGCGCTCAATGGTGCGCTTCTTAAAAGGCGTCTTAAATATCATATTATTCTAATTATACTTGCAGTTTTCCAGTGAGACATGCTAGCACTGGCTATAACTGTGGTCACGGTTCTCATTTACAGTCAATCAAAATCTTCTTTCCGCTTTTTGGTGTTTCTTTGCTCACAGAAGCTGCTTTCTTACACATCAACTGGAAGGCCCTACGCAGCCGAGAAAGAAAATATCAACTTTGAACAGTTGATTGAACTTATTTGTGCCTTCATTCTTCGGTCTGCTTGCCTACTTCATGCGTACATTGCGAGAACGGTACAATCTTGGATGTCCCTCCTTCTAGAGACAAAGCACGCGCTCCCTTGGTTGCTACAGTGCGTCTTCTGCATTTGCGCCTCATAAGGCAACTTTTGTGGTGGAAGTATCTGCCTGCTGGTGCGTATCTGCGACAAATTGTGAGCGGGCAAGACCCACTCTGGTATGTTCTAGTATGCCAGGAAGATTTAGTCCTATGGGGGGTTTCCAAAGCCACAAGTGAGCTGAATAATTCAGAGCAGCAAATAATTGGAGCAGCAAGCAATCTTTTCTCCTCAGTGAACCCTGCAATATTCAGGGAAGCAGGAAACTTGTAATGGAAGATGATATCGATCCCTCCTTGATGAAAAAGGCCATGCCGGCCGCACGCAAACAACTTCTTTGGCACACTCACAGAGAGCTCGGTTTTCGACCAATCTAGCATTGACGAGCTCCTTTTTGTACCATTAAAAAATGTCTGACGCGGATTTGGAATGCGCTAATCGCAGCTTTGAAGGGCGCAAATTTTTGTGAAACTTAAACGATTTTGTGCAGTATCCTGGGCGCGGCTCGCCTTCAGGCTGTGTTCTGGTTGCACATCTTCATTCCCATCATCACTGCAAAACGACATTGTTGAGCATGAAGAAGGTTCCAAACGAAATTACTAATTCTTTCAACTTCTGTAATTGTCCCTTCTGCATTAGTTGCATTTATGACCCCAACTTGCATTTTTTGAATTACAAGACGCTGAAGGCCATTCCGAGGCTGCATTGTGCTGCTGCGCTTTACATCTCTTACTTCCGGTGATGGACTATAAATTTTGAGTTATATAAAGTAAAGAGACTTATATGTGGGTGTACGCTGGCAATAACTCAGATGCATCTGTGGAAGTGAGCATCCCCAAAACATCTAGTGCGATCTCGAGCAAAGCGTTCTGTATCGCCTTTACCACCGTTTCCTCAGGTCGTTCGTGTACACATAGGCATAGCACTGCTCTTCTGCGAACGAACAGGAAGAGCACCATTTTGTCTGCGCAACTCCATCAACAGCAAGCGAGCTCATGTTTCTAATAAATTTTCTTATCCTGAATGCTAAAATGAATTCGCGTCTAATCTCACCAAGAATCACCGATCTTGCTGCTTACTCAACTTCTGTGTGAGGTTCACTAAAGGGCCATATAGTCTTATTATGTTCACAAGTATGGGGGAGTTTCCGGAGCAGCAAGTAAACTGCCGATGAGTAGCTTCAAGCATCTCAGGTCCCGCAGAAAGCACAAGTCCCCTATGGTGATTCCTCTTTTTGTGAGATAACCTGCCTTCTGAAATGTTTAGCCTTAGCTGTCTAAATTCTTTTCTACACTTCGTAATGTGTCTTTTAGAAGTGCATGCATCTCACATCCAGCCCCGTGGATAACTGCATGCAACTGCTTGTGGCAGTGCGGTCAAGCTTGGGTGCGCTTTCCGTAATATTATTGCGCTCTCTGAAATATATTGTACTACTCTAGCTTATTCTTGTAGCCCGTCCTCCTAGGTGCAGCTATACCTGATAACCTTTTTATTATAAATATTTGGATTAAATGGCTCAGAGAGACTTTCGGCACTGATACCTGTAGATCTGTACATATTCATACCGTACCTTTCATCCTACAATAATACTACTAAGCATGCAGGGTTTGTCGTCAAGCTTGCCTCGTGAAATATTTTTACATTTTTCTGGCAGCTTAACGTTGTGCCCTCTAGACACCTGGATGGCATTTTAGGGAAAATTCATTCTTACGCACCTTGGAAGCGTTTCTGTTCTATTTCGACAATGGAACACAGTGTTAGTCGGACATTCTGCATTCTAGCAGCCTTATCAATTCCCCAAGTTACATGATTGCTTTGCACTCTTAACCAGGATTAAGTATCATGCAGGAGCCTATGTTTTAGTACTGCTGCATATTCCACAGTTCACCCCTAAATACGAGCTCGATGTTTAGGAGGTCATTAGACTGCGCTACATATGTAGGGTCTACTATTGTTCCTTTTGTACAGCCTGCATCAGACGAGGGGCGTAGCAGTCTGGTCTCCGGCGAGAGAGGAGATTCTCAGCCTATCCACAGCACCAAAGCTGCATCGTGCTCAGTTAGCCGCTTGCTTGATGGCATAAATGCGGAGCATCTAAAAATTATGCAGGCGGAATTCGCCCGACATGGGGGACGATTAGACCTGCAGCAGGTGAGGATTGACTGATTGCTCATCTGCCGTCCTTTTCAGCTCTACAATGCATTTGTGAAGGTCACAATTTCGCGCAATCAATCCACAAAAATACATTTCTCTAGTGAGAACCCTCGCTGCTGACTGCGATATTTCTAAATCTTGATTTTCTTAGCATAAATAAAGTCCTAGAGTTGATAAGCGTTCGTTTTGCGAGGGCAGAGGCACTGATGTGTGATCATCCGTATGTCTATACGAATTTATCGACTCCGTCCGTCTGTGTACGTTTTGGCCTGCGCATTAGTTCGCTGAGTTGATGTTTCAAATAGCTCCGTGGAAGTCATTAGAGGCGGCACCTCCTCTTTCAGTGAGTTTGCCACAAACTTTCAGTTTGTCCAAGAATTTCTCTGTAATGTCGTCCTCTTCAACATCAACTCATACAAAGGGCACAACGCCAGCAAGCATTTGTTTCCTTGTCGGGGGGGGAAAATGCTGGGTAATATCAAAAACAAGTTGCCTGCGAATGCTTTTCAGCTCCGGGAAGATCAGCTTCAGGCAGAACAGGCCAATGGGAGAAAAGACCCATCAGCACTTGAAGATGAACATCTCCTCTCTGCTGAGCGTTTTGCATTTGAATTGGCCGACCAAAGTACGTCTACAGGAGTGTCGCCGCAGCACTGCGTGCACCACCAAAACCTTGTTCTGGGCGATCCTTTGCCTTTGCCATTTTGAGCAAAACCACCGTGCATTTGTGTCACTTCAGCAATTCTAAGCAGGGCCGCGCTCATGGCAGAAGCCTTTGAGGCCGTGGACGTGAACGACGAAGGCTTTATTAGATGGGAGGTCAGACTGGGAGGGAAACCACATCGGACTGGAATAACCGGATTTTGACTAGGCTGAGAATCACTTGCATCACGTTCCAATGAAACTTACATCACAAAGCGAGCTCTGGCTGCATCTGCCAGTCGGTCTTTGTGAAACTTTGCGTGCAGTCAATCACCAGCTACTTGGAGAGGAGCCTCGCCTCAGGCAGGTTCTGAACCACTCGGACACTGCGATCGTTCTTGATCCAATCTCGCCACTAGAATTCTACCTAAAAGTAGCTAATAGAGCCCCTGGAATTAGTCTGGATAATCAGGCTCGCACGCCTACGTCCGGTGAATCAGCGTGTTGGTGTGAAAATGTGTGCGTAGCTTTGGCAGTAACGAGGCTTTGCACCCTGTACGACCTATTTCACTCAGCAGGACAGCTACGACGAATCCAACCCATTGCTCAAGGAGGACAGCCACCTTCTAGCTCTTATCGTTTAGATATCCTTCCATGTTGACTGTCCTGCGTTCCTCCCTGTTTTTCTGCACTGCGTAACACGTCTACAGCATAAACAATCCTGTAGTAAGCTTTTGGACTGCATCCTGTACTTTCATGTTGTCCTGTGTGTTTAAAAAAATTAGTACGCTTTCACTTCTTCGAAGCCATTGAATAGCTCCCAAGACCATATCAAGAGGCAAGCCTCCAAAATTACTAGAACGCATCGCTGCCCAGAATATCCGTTAAAGGAAGTAAATACAATATTTGCAGGAACTACAGCTAATCAGCTGACGTGAGCTCTTTTCGACTTTTAGGCTGTTCGCATTGCCTCAATAATTGCTATTTTTCAAGTGGGTTCATTCCCATGACAGGCTAATGTTTGTTGAGCCCGTAGACAGGCTCTACTGCATTTATCAGTCCTCCAAGTTTTTACATATTTTGAATGCGAGTTCAGTAAGCTACGTCAACCCAGTCCGGCTCTACGAGCCGGCTTCACTGCCCTAGAAGCGAATTAGCAATTTTTCTGCAGAAGATCGTCACAAGGCTAGTGCTGAGTACATCAAATCTGATTGTGTTCTGCTCAAAATGTGCAGAAGGAAGTTGTGTGCCAAGTCCCTTCCTTGTCAGGTAAGCTAAAAAATGAAAGGCTTTGTATGCACTTACGCGTTGAAGGTCACCTCGCCCAACTGAACTATGCCATACTCTTTTGCGCATCTATGGCATATATCTGCGGCTTGGATCAGGCGCCATTATAGACGTGTGCTACGTAGATGCTTACGGGAAAGTTGCTTTAGCAGGTGGGACTTAATGCAGAATATAGATGCTCCAGCGGAAGTCATCTGGCATACCCTACGTGCAGCTAGCAAGCACCTTTAATTCAAGCTGCAGTAACTCGATTCTTTCAGTATGCAGCAGCCTTTGTCGCTGAGCGCATGGCCACTTTTGCAGGGTACGATGGAAGCATCCGTATGATGACAACAAATGGATTAATGCTTACCGAAAAGCTGTCGTACAAGCACCATCCACCAAGTTGCCTCGAATGGATGAGTGGCCCTAACAAGTTACTGAGGTTAGCCCATAACGTCAATTTTGTCTGAATTTTAAGAGTTTCGGACGTTTCCTGCTTATTGCACAACACAATTTAATTCTTCCTTATCGCTGCATTACACGACGTCTCCCTTATCTGTACAGCAGCGACGCAGCAGCTATTCCGCCGGAATGTGCGCGACAGCTTATTTTGGATATGCGTTTTCTTAGCGGATGTGTTGACGGAACAATCCAAGTATGGGATCTGGTTACGTTTTCCGAAATAAGCAGCAAAAAGGCCCACAGTGATTTTATAAACCAGATTCTCCATGCTCCCGGTATGTGTTATTAGCTACGCCGGAAGCCAGTGCACACGAGATCTTAATTAAACCGCAGACAGAAGAAGTAAGCAAAATTGGAATGCTTTCGAAGCAATTGAAGCCACTGCAATAGTTTTATGTGATAGTTCCATACTCAGATGAAGGGGCTTTTGTATCAGCTTCAGCGGACGCGACCTTGAAGATTTGGGACGCGCAGTTGCTGGAGTGCAAGCATGTGCTAAAGGGCCATTCGCGTAGTGTGACTAGCATCGCTCACTCAAAGGATTACAATTGCTTTATTAGCGCCGGTCTTGACCAGGTCAGGCGTCCGAAAGCCTGTATTGTGTATTGGAGGCATTCAGAGTCCTAAGAATCTTCTCAAAACAGCCACAACATCGCAGAGAAGCTGCTCACTACGGCATGCTAGCTTATTCTCTCTGTCTTTATGCGGATATCAGGATGCTTTGGTGTGGAGCCCATGCAATTTGAGAAAACCTATTTGTCACTTGAGAGGCCACCCGTACTCCCTCTGCGGGGTGGTAGTCGTTCCCGGCACCCCACAAGTTGTGACGGCAGATGTCTCAGGAACACTGCGTCTGTGGGACCTCCGCAATTTTCGTTCACTTCAGACATTTGGAGGGAGTACGTAACGGCAGCGCTCAGATGTTGACTATGCACCTTGACGTGGAGACAAATCGCAGACAGGCCAACGTGCTATGAAAGCAAAAAAGCATAGACAAACAGGCGGTCCCTGGGTTTCAGGTAGCTTTAAAGCCTGACGATTGTCTGACACTGATACAGGGGCAACTTGCTACGGAGACCTGGCATCTGTTTGCGCTCTGCCCCCATACACACAGTACGTAAATGGGCAGCCTCAGTAGCCAGTGGTACAGCGTTCAAGCTGTTGGAGTTACTCACAGATGCCTCTGCATTATTCTCCATGATTTCAGGATTGTGACGGGAGGATCGACACTTGATGTTTACACTTGCCAGCAGATGTCTGTCGCCGAGAAGCGCTGCACCATGCCGGAAGAATTGACGGCAGCAATTCATAATTCGCAAAGCAACAGCATTCTGACGATTAGCAAGACGAAGGTCCTCTCCTGGGATGCAGCTCAAGGCGAGGTTTCCAGGGTGGGTCTGCAGCAGGAGCTTGCGATATGGAAAGGCAGCTATCTCACTCGAAAGTTCGCAGAAGCACTTTTCGCATCTAAAATTGCGTTTATCATTTATCCATTGTGCTATTCAAGTTGTGCGCAACAGGTTCTTCACGATGCCGATGGTCCTGACGTGACGGCTGCAAGCCTGGATTCCAGAAAAAGGAAACTGTATCTCGGATACAGCACTGGCGGAATTTCTTGCTTCAATGCATCCACAGGAGCGGAACTTTCGAAAGCGCAGCCGCATTCTACCGAAATAACCCATATCTGCCCATGGCCGGGAACGAAGTGTTTCGTCTCGGCTTCCTCAGACGGCCTAGTGCTTGTTCAAGAAGAAGTTACAACAACGCAAGTTACTGAGCTGACAGGATGATAATTCAAAGCTTTTAGCGTTCCCTAGCTTCTATGACTTTAGTAACAGCTCTTCACCACACTAAGTTTAAGGTGTGAAGGCGCAATGAGGAGTGCAAAGCATCTGCCGGCAACAGGCAGCCCGCAACCTGGCCATGAAATTTGGCTATATGCTGTACCCTTCCGTGATCTTGAGGCGTGAATAATCTTTTTAGGACTCAAGAGACGCAGGTCATTTTTCAAGCTAATGTTGGCAAGGAAGGACTCACGTGTATGACAATATGCGAGAGTTCCAAGCTGCTTGCTTGTGGAAGCAGCAAGTCTGTCCACCTATTCTGCCTCCGGCGATTACGCAAAGAAAGCACGTTGGAGAGTTTTTCGTAGGTCAACACTCTGTAGGACTAACTCACACCTTGCCTTTCGGCTATACTACCCACCATACCTGGATCTTCCATATTAAGTGCTTCTATGAAAATGCTTCCATTTGTCTACTCAAGGTTGTGCCCATCGTTAAGGCGGTTCGGTGCACTAAAACGGAAGCCATTAGTATGAACACCCGAATTTCCGATGCTTCGCATGAACTGAAACCGCCTATGGCAGCTGTTTCATCGTGCTGTGCCTGCTTCGTGCCCCAGTTCCTCGGTCCAAGCCATTGATGTTTCACCGACTGGAGAATTCCTCGTAGCAGGCGAAGAGTGTGAGTGTCTGCTTGCAAGCATACAGTTGCGCACTCTCAGACCCACGATAGTTTATCAAGGTCTGTACCTGACCGTGCAACAGTTGCCACTGTAGTTTATGGTTCTCCGAAAATCGTAATTCATGAAGAAAGATCTCGTTCGTCAGAGCAGCCACCAAAGAAAACAATGAGCGCATTACGGCCCGAAAGTAAAATTGGGTAGTGTGTTGACTCCAGCTGCACCATGCGGCATGAAAAGAATACAGATAGGAGTGTTTCGTCGAACAAAAAGTCGATGATTTATGTGTTCACGTGCAGCTGGTATCATATCCGTTTGGCACATGTACGATTCTGACCAACGCCGGTCATGGAACTTTTTGTATTGCTGGGAAAATATTTCCCAGCTTGAAGTTTTGATGTGCGACGGTCTTACTGTTGAAGAGCTGCAACATGAACGGCAGGAAGATCAACAAAATGCAAGAGGCAGTCGGGAAATGAAGTTTACTTACAAACGAAGATTATTCTTAACTCCAAACGAAGTACAAAGTCTTGTTGTACCAGCAAGCACAAGGGCTGTCAAGGTCAACAAGTTTGCCACGAGCAGCTTACAGGTGTACAGCGCTGATGAACGAGTGAGCTTTGGGCACTAACCAGGCAAGAGTTTTACCGGCATGCAGCATGAAGTGCGTTCCGGATGCTGAGCATTACTCAGGCGCATTAGCAACTGTCTTGCTGGGAACTTCACAAGCACGTGACATGCACCGCTGATGTTGTGGCGCTTCCTCATAGGGCATTATTAGGTTATGGGATCTTGGCAAAGTTCAAGAACGCCTGTCAGTGCAGCCACTTCCGTGCCTTCCTAAACAGTGCAAGTCTATTGGCTTTACTACGAGAGCTGATGGTAAAGGTATTCCTCGTTCAACCAAAAGTCCTCTACTTGGCAAGTACGTTCCGTATAGCCTGAATTTCAGCACCTAGCACGTTCCACGCCTGAATGAGGCAGAAGAATTGACACTGGAGGGGATCTTAAGTCTAGGACTAAACATTGGGCCCTTTTTGTTATTGGCATTATTAGCAGTTCGTTCTTGCAGAGTACGGTCAGGAGTTATGGCTGCACGCTCAAGAACGTTCCTTACTCAGCCAATGTCCGAGGCTACGAGTCAAGGCAATGGAGAGGCCAGTATTCATCAAGCGCCCCGCAGAAGAAGGGATGGAACACACGGTGAGTACAAGAAATTCTTTGTTTTCCCTGTTCGCTCTCGGCAGCCCGGTACATCGACTTGTGCATCCGCATGTTCCTCATGCGTGAAATATCCTCTCACACACTCTAACAAATGCAGCGCGCAAAATGTAGTGCAGGCGCGTCAATGTGTGCGCGCGTTTTTACCAGAGCTACGGTCTAGTAGAAGATTTCTCGGTATGCTGCAATTGTACCAGCTAAGGACAGTAGCGGTTCTTCAAAAGGCCCTATTCCCTGTATATTGTGAAGTCTTTCTCCCTCAGAACTTGCTGCGTTTGGCTGCTATTCTTCTTATTAGCTATGAAAGAACTGAAACGGTGACTGACACTTCTGTTGTGGTGGCAATTTTTTGCGCAACGATGCAGAAGCCACCCTACTCCATGAAAGCTCAGCGCACAGGGACGCAGTGCTCTCCCTCGACCTCTGCGAGGCTGCAACTGACGCTGCTCATCCAGATGATGCTTCTCTGCCTAAAGCGAATGGCCATGTTCGATGGATCCTTTCTGTCGGAACTGACAGAGTTGTTAAGGCGTGGTCTGTGGACCTTCAGCGCCTTGGGCAGCTCACATCTGTCCGTTTCATCAACTCACAGCGGCACGCTTTGGCAGTACACTCCTCATATCTGAGTAAATGAAAAAGTGCGCACACAGTTGTACAACTCTTGCATGGACGTGTAATTCATGTGGTCCTGCAGGAGGTGCCGCGTATGTGGACACCACTAGGGAATAGGTGGTCGGAGCGAAGGAGAAGTGTGCTACGAGCGGCTGGACTGAATCTAGCGGTTCTTCGCCAAAGGCTTAGATGCAACATTATACACAGACAAGACAACCATTCGAGCCAATTTGAAGCTGTAGACGAGAATCTGATGCTGCCATCATCGCCTGACACAGGTAGCATGCCCAAATATCAAAAATTAGCATGACAAACAGTGTGCTGCATCTACCCCAGGAAACCTACAGCACAGCTAATCCATTACTTAGACACGAACAGCAGTCCGCATGTGGGTGCTTGCAGCGATGAAATCCAAACGCATAGGGGCACCTACCACAGCGGCCCAGTTGGCAGCCTTCCACTTGAAGACATGGCCTAAAAGGTTAGTTTCGGTAGCTCAGTGGCCGTGGTCTTGCAGCAAAATTACAATTTGGCAGAAAATTGGCAATGAGTAGATTTCCGAATGGAAGGAGGGTCTGGGAGGGCGAAACGTAGACAGCCAGCGACATTAATTTGGTGCACTTTCTGCGAATCCAGGAAAACCCCCCTCAAAGCTGGCGAAATTAATGCTGCAATTAAATTTGAGCAGGTGTGTTTCATGGAAAGCAGCAAGCAGCAGCATATGAGTGTAACTGAATTTGGACATTTGCTAGGTAAGTATGCTATCAAAAGGTTTTTCGAAGCAAGTGAACCGACGCGCCTTGTAATTGATGCATTCCTTTGAATACAGATGCTTGACGAGCTTCTAGGGAATTAAAATTATCAGGATTGACGCCACGTCATCTCGCCCGATTAAAAGAAGAAGGAAAAGAAACATGCTTAAATGGTGTCACCAAAGGAAAATATGAGAATGTGCATTATGTCTCCTCATCGCATTGTCGCGTTTCACGTTGCCAACTGGCAAACTGCTTCATAAATCTTTGGAGCGCATATATATGAAGAAAGTAGTCTAGACTGGCGACGACGATATCGTGTCTGTCGTTTGCAAGGGAAAATCAAATATTTGAGTATGCGTAGTGCTCGCAGTGAATGAGATGGATGCTGCACCCATTATGCGTGTTAAATATGTTTGGCCATTCGTTGTACTCTGCGACTGGGGCTGCTACTTTCCGTTGCCACTGTCGTAAATGTGACATGCAAACGTAACAAGCTAAAATGCTACCTCCCGTTCTAGAAAAGCTTAACTGCTGCCAGGCTTTTATGAGGCGCCACAGCTAAAGCCCAATTATTGTGCTTGCTTACCATCGATGGTGACACAATTTGCGAGCATTAAGCTCAGCATGCCGTTGTGTTTTTCCTTCCACTCGCAGCGCCAGGGCTTTGATTTGCTTGACCATTCATTCGACTACGCTGTCAAGCATGATTTCTTGAAAAATCTTTTATAGCTCACGCAGCAAAGCAATTGATACGTCTCAGATCTTCCGCGAGCAAAATCATCAAGCTTCGCTGAAGCATGACACTCTGCTAGAGGATTATGTCGTCCTGACTTTCGCTATTTCTTGCTGTAACGTTGTTTTTGATGCTGCGGCTGGTTGAAATGAAGTTGCATTCTGGGCGTTTTTACTGTACCTAGGCCTTGAAAATTTATCAAAATTTATAATAGTGCTATACATAATATAGGTCCTCTGGAGGCACTTCATCGCAACGCGAATGCTCTTCTGTAGGAGACGGACGCCACGAACCAGTCAGTGTGAACGGAGCTGTCCTTAGATAATGCTAGTATAGTAAAGAACCGACGACGAGTGTTCTGCATGCTTCTAACTGAATCGCTAGTCACTTTAACGATACCGCTACAGCCTTGTAGGCTTTGCTTGAGAGCTTGACTACGTGACTGTGGGTGAATTCTTACAAAGTTCTGGTGAAGCTCCAGCCCTGTCGAATCAAGTTGGGTAAGTTCATTCTTCTGTAACTGCTTATCACAAAAATAAGTGAGTAAGCATAGAGTCCAGCAAATGCCACGTAGGCTACTTTAGGCTCAGATGATTCCGCCAACGCTGATGAGAAGTGTCTGCAATTCGCAGTTTCCATTCACTGTCCCTCGCTACCTACAAGTAAAGAGCGTCCAGTACAGCACGCAAAAGTAAATTCCGTGTACGTCACAGCTCACACGCTTGCGCAGGCTGGCAGTTAGTATCCCTGGTGTGCTTACAGTTTGGCTCCACAATGTGGCACTATACAGGCAATTAACTAAGGAAACGTCTAGCATTCAAACTTCAATAGAACCCAAATGTTAAGAGGACCGTATTACTGCCTGAAGCAATTGGAAAAATGGACCGTGTAATGACAGAAGTGGAGAAATAGAACTCAGTGATCGCACTTAGCACACAAGGAGCAGCGGCCCTTCGGCTACATTGCAATTATTGAGCGTTGCAGGCCATTTAAAGAAGAGCAACGCTTCACACTCAAGCTAGCCGCATTTCTGAGATGCTTAAACTTAGGCCGATGAGTGCTGAAGCCTTGGACTTTGGGCCAGTGAGCCTTTGCCTTCGGGGGCGCTCAAGGGAAAAATGGAACTGCAAATTTAAATGACATTTCTTGAACTACGGCCTCGTTGGCTTCTAATCACACTGTAGCTCAACTTTTGTGAGAACGGCGACTTCTATTTTCTGTGTACCAGCGTGTTTGCATACTGGCGCCTACCCCAGAAACTAAAAGAACTCTCTACACAGCAACTTCTGCCATGCTGCCGTTTCAATCTGAGGCTCTGCATGTCATGCGCCCGGCTCATTGCATCTAAGAGTGTCATATGTGGATGAAATTATTGTGTCAGCAGCAAAACACGTGGCCTTCAACAATTCGGGCGCCGAGTTTATCAGCGGCCCAGATCCCTTGTGAAATGCTTACCAAACTGAAGTGACCGGGCCCCAAAGAAAGCCCTGACGCGTTTTCGAGCTTGTCGGCAAGTAGGACACCGTAATAATTTAGTCGCAAGGTTGAAATTCCAAAGCAACAAATCGTTGATCCGGGAGATGTGGCTAGTGGCCTGTAACACGCGGAATCTCTGCGGGGAATAGGCCTATGGAAGCGTTGTGCGCGGAGCGTAAAACCGTATATGCCTAGCGTCTGCTGAGTAGACGAGCCTTCACGACGCTACCTGAGAAGCAACGTTTATTCATAGCGTCAAAGCACTCCACTGACAGTGCGATAAACTAAGGAGCAAGCTAGCGTTTTCATTGCTACCAGGGACTCAGATATGAGGCAAAACAGTTGCATCGCGCTATACTCTGGTGTTTGTCCCGGAATTACTGCCATGGACAGGCCTGTCTCTAGAAACTCTCCTTCAAACGTCGGGCTGTGAGCCACCGCTACATATGGACGCCAGGCTCCGAAGTGCGAACGCGGTGATATCGCCAAAATTTGCTTGGCTGCCCGCTACCGCCGTAGTCCAGCTTGCTCTGCTACCCGCTGTATCTGTGCAACTTACAGGTTGGCTTTGGTTCGCCCTAGTGGAACTCTCAAATACTGCGTGTCTCCGTTTGTCATCGGCAGTGAAGACTAGTGTGATGTCACCAGAGGCGGAGCCCGGGGGATCGAAGCTGCAAGGATGAGGCGTTTCCATGCCTAATTATTGTAACGCCATTATGATGCTCTATTCCAGAAGGCGTGCAGGTAGGATCGAGCTGCCCTGCAAGATAACGTGAGAAATCGCCCACAGATGTCGCATCGTTCACTGGCGTCATATAGAGTTAACTCTGTTTTCTGCAAGGCTGTTCACTGTTGAGCAAGATATAGCCTGGTTTGTTTTCCGTGGAATTGTTTCCTCTCGATAACAACGTGCTGCAGCTTAGCATTTCGGCAGATGCGGCTCGCATGCTGAATATCTTTACCAGCTTGAGTCGCCTTCCTTAGGGAGAGAGTGAGAGGAGCTGGCTTTTCACTTGTTATTGGCCTCCATTCACCACTTTTCCTCGAACAAAACGGGACGCCTGTGCGTTGTACGAAATTGGTAAACAAGTGGAAGCAGCTAGTGGTAGCCCTGTTGTAGCGTAGCGCTGCTTTAGTATCGGCGTCTTCATCCTCGAGTGGAAGACGGCGAGGAACTAACGTTGGAGTCTCCCGGAATATCTTGTGGCTAGCTTGTGGGGCCCTTTTACGAAGCAGGAAGTTAGAACCGTACTCTGAATGCTTCAGCAGAGGTGACTATACAGTCACTGCGACCTATGTAGTCCGAGGGAGTAGAAGTAAGCAGTGAAAATATACACGTCCCACTAATAAGGCAAGTGGAAAGGGCAATTCACGAGACAAGGTCCAGCAGGTAGGGTAGCAGACGCGAAAACGTTGCGCAGGACAAAGGCTACATGGTGTCCAGATGGAGTTCACTGTTCGTCGCACTTGCATATTGATGTTAAGGTGACACAACGAGCATATTAAATTGTACGATTGTGCCTAAACGGTTCCACTAAGCAGCAAGTAGGCCGTCTGTTGGGGTTACCTTTGAAGCGCGGCTTTTACGGTTGTGATATAACTCCTGGCGTTCGTACCATGCAACTGCCTCGCACTACAGAGGGCGCAATTTAGAGTAAATAACTCTGCCACAGGCTATACAGCGCGTGATGCCAACTGCGATGTGTCGGCATCGCTACGCTCCACAGCTTCACGTGGCCACACGGTTACAGTGGGGTGCAAATGTATTCACACACATGCGGTTCTAGGAGATCGGTTCAGTCTCACCTCGGAAAAGACCAACAGACTATCAAGACTGCCAGCCTCGTGAGGGGATGCTTTATGCCGTAGTTCCATGTGTCCATGATCCCCTACGTTGGGCGCCTGCCCGCGTTGGTGGTATTAAATAATTTGGATGATGCATTAGACCTGTTACACCCTTTCTTTCGCAGCTATAATAGTTTCGTCAAAGTGAAGCCCTCATGCTGTGCTAAAGGAGTCACAACTTCGTCGCATTGTACTGTTGTGACTTGTGGTTTC